TTAACTCCAAAGAATAAAACTATTACGTTTATGTAATCTCTATGTAAATGAAAATTATCCTTGAGCAATGGGCATTATTTATTTTTAGCAAAAAAATATAATTTTAGAAGTATTTTATATTTCGTGAGACATTCTAAATTAATTATGTTTTTTGGCTTAGTTACGTAATTATTTGACGAGGAACTCGACTAGTTTCCACTAGCTACTCGAGTCAGTAAGGCGACAGTCACCGCGCAACGGGTCGTGGTCGCCGAATATGAGCCCCTAGTATGGTTTGAAACTACTCGAGTTCCTCGTCAAAAAATTTTTAGAATTTTTTTTTGAAGTAGACACAACAACTACTAGACATTTTGGAATAGTTCTTTTAATATTAAAAAAAATATATATATATATACGACGATAAATATATGTCTCAACTGCCAATTTAATCAGTTTCGATCCTTAATATACGTAATTTAGGCCACCGTTGGCCCCAATTATTCGCGTATTAATTACATTGTTTTAATTATTGTACTAAGCACCGTCCTTTGGGCTTTCAATTCAATTTCAGGGCAACAATTGTGACGGTAAATAATACGTGTTTTATCGTAAATTACCGTGTAATTATAATCATTCACATGTGTAATGGGTTTAGCGTTGAATCCCATGAGTGATGGTGTCAAGGATTACGGCCTTTATTTATTGCTCTTAAAAGCTAGTATTAGCTTTATCGATTTTAGAATTGTTAGGGGTAGTATGGGTTTAAAATAGGAGTAGGTATAGACAGGGAAATAGTGTTGAGTCTGTTAATTATATGATGTAATAGTAACACGATTTTAATTTAACAAAAATTGACCTACTTATAAAAAAGGATTTAAGTAGGATTTTTAACCAACTTCCCAAAAAGGTGGAGGTTATCAATTCGGCCATTAACCTAAGTTTCATTTTGTTATGGGCTTTTGGAACCGACTTCTAACCTACCAGTGGGTGGGTAACCTATAAGTACGTATGACTTATTGTTTGCTCTTTAGTTTTTACCTTTTGCTTGTTTTTAGGTATTGGTTTATGAAGTAGGTTTTTTTTAAACACAGTGTTTGTTTTAATTTGACCCCATGGTCAATCTTCATGGAGCCCCCTCGCCCGGTGAGAACGAAAGAGACTGGCATACTGTTACTTACTAAATTCCACTCTGTTGTCCCATCTCACACGTGGGGCTAAAGCCGATTCCGCATCGAAGTGCAGGAGAAGGAACGGGGTGGTTTTTATTCAGTGAGAGTCTGACATTCCCTCTCGCCTCACCCAGGCGGGAGAAGTCATTCGATGATATTCCCTCCTTAAAAAAAAACACGTGGGTACGAGGATGCGAGAAACGGAATCCTTCCGCAGTCCCCGAACTCGTGGCGGCCTGCTTTGCCAGGTCCAACCTCAAGGTGCATAGAGGAGTGAGTTCAATAGGCGACGTCAATTGTATATTACTTTTACCTTGATTTTGCTAATGAGTCGTTAATTTCATTGATAAATATCTAGCTATGCATCAATTCATGTTTCAGGGAATTTATGTAATATTTATATACGTTTGTTTATATTGTCAAAGTTTCTCTGTAAACAACATTCAATCAATAATTAGATACTTACAAAGTTTTTGTTTACATTGCTTGTTTCCGTAATAAATCTTTATATCTGAGTACTAAACTTTGTTACAAAATGTGACACTTTTATTGTATTACAAGTTGAGGACTTGTTACTTTGATTTGTGTTCACAGTTTTAGATAATAGATAGGGTCTCATGATATTTTATTGTTACATAGACTGCATAATAAAGCAATAAGAATTGATTGTATTTTGTCTGTACGTACATTTGGTGCGGTAGCTGGGCAACCGGCTCCTGTGCTACGTATAGTGGGTTTGATTTCCCCACAGAGCATCACAAATTGTGGTTTCTAGTATGGATGTCATGTGTATGTGAACTTGTATGTTTGTAAACGCACCCGCGACACAGAAGAGCACTTTTAAAAAAAAAGGTTGCGTATTTTATCGTATTTGATATCATTTTATCATCAAAAATATTATATTATCTTGGCTTTTATCTATCGGTTACATTTTTCTATTTTCCACCAATTTTTCCATTTTTCTATTTTTTAATTTAAACAATTATTTAAGTGGTGTGTATTGTCGTATTTAGGTCCATTAGAAGATTATAACGGTTATAGGATACGTAACGTATAAAGATTATACGGATTATAACGATATATAAATAGATGATGAAATTAAGTAAATAATATTTGTTCGTTTTATGTCGTGGTGGCCCGGAGGTTTTAAGGCGCCCGCTTCTCATGCATGAGGGTGCTGGTTCAAAACCTAGCAACGGAAAGTACCAATGTGACTTTTTCCGAGTTATATGTACTTTCTAAGATTATTAAGACATTACTGACAAACGGTGAAGGAAAACATCGTGAGGAAACCTGGGCTTATAATTTCTAATTATAAGTTTGTAATCACCAACCCGCATTGAGCAAGCGTGGTGATTGCTCAAACCTTCTCCTTGTGTGAAGAGGCTTTGCTTAGCAGTGTGCATTTATAGGCTGTTGATGATGATGATGAATATTTGTTCGCTTACGAAATAACCGGATTAGGTTATTTAAACGTGTACCTACTTATTTTAAAACATACTTTAACTTAGTAACAAATTCTTGTAATAGTTAGCAAATTATGGTATTTAAAATATATTTGTCGATGATTGACTATGTCAGTAATATAGGTATGCATGTTGCAATTATTTTGCAACCATAGTGTCATTTCAGCAGTTTACTGCCAAAGTAGGTAATATACAATTATATATAGGTAGAAATTAGTAGCTTTTAACGAAATTACTGGCACTTTAGTAAGTTAATTAGAGCATATTATTAGCATTTCGAAAAATTTTTGTGTAATTATGTATGTTATATGCAGGAGCGGATTATTTGTAGTGCTATTTAAAGTGTTGTTCATTGTGGCACTTATTACTATTTTAACACTATGTATATGTATAACTTATAGATATGTAGGTAAATAAGTACAGTCATCCAAACAATAGGCTAGTTACCAGGGTATGAAAATTGAAAATGTAATTCGTACGTGAGTTACCTATAGATAATGAAAAAATATTAGACACATATTTTTTTATTTTCTTGTCTAAAGTTACAATACTCGGACAAAATGGAGTTAAGTTAGCACTTTGTGACGTCACACGATATTTTAAATTAATATATCGTCCAAAGTATCCAACATTTTTTTTTATTTTATTTTAAAAGGCTTCAAGCACCCACTAATGTACAAGGTGGGCTTAATGCCTTGGACATTCTCCTCCAGCCAGACCTTTGGGTGATGCAGAGACAAAAACAATGGTCGATGCAAGAAGCAAGCGTATTAAGAACAATGACCAAAAGAAATACATAAAAAAGGATAGTATAACATTGTGGGAAAACAAAAAATACCTGTCTAATGTTTTTAATAAATTTACCAGACGGCTATTAAAATAAAATTTAGGAAACTACCCTATTCGGACGTCGTATAGTGTCGTAATTTCGATATTAGACTGAATAAACAATAAAGGCGTATCATAATTATTTATATACGTCATTTTCTAAAGAAATTCCCCCATAACCTTTATCTATACGAAGAGACGGTATTTAGGATAAGTACTTAATAATAAAAAAAATATAGCCTGATAAGACAAAATGCCTATTTATATCAGATTTACTGCCAAACGATAAAATCGTTCGGGCTAAAACATATACAGTTTACTGTTTAGGAGAACCGATAAACTGCACACGAACTGAACGAAAAAATGGCCCCGGGTGATAACAGCAAGAGTCAAAAGACTGGCACTGGGTGCACTTTTTCGTGTATAGGGGGAAGTCCTGTAACACCGGATGGCGCCTAACGCCGTACGCCTCTATTATCTCGATAACACGAGCGATTCAATTTTTGCTAAAAGTCTTAGGTGACTGCCACTGGAAGACTTCCCTATAAAAATGGAATCACTCGCGTTATTAGTTATAGAGATAATACAAGCGTACGGCGTTAGGTGCCGTCCGGCGTTAAGGGACTCCCCCCTAACACATAAGTCATTGTAAATTAAAAACTACACGACTTCGATTTTTTTATATTTTTTCTGATAACTGTAGGAACCTTGCCGATCACCTGGTGCCATTTGATCGCCGACTTCAGAGACACCCTGTATAATGTGATTGTTATACATATGTACAATAATTTACTAAACATAATATAATGGGTCTTTAGGTAGGTTTTTTTATGGCATAAGCCGGTAAACAAGTAGACGGATCACCTGATGGTAAGCAATCGCCGTCGCCCAGCCCCATGGACACTTGGAGCGTCAAAGCGTTATAAGTGCGTTACCGGCCTTTTGGGAATTGGGAATTTGAGGATTGTGGAGAAATCAGGGTTCGGGAGACTGGGGAGTGGGGTAATTGGGCCTCCGGTAACCTCACTGACACGATGAAACAACGCAACACACCGCAACGAGCCGGCCGATTCGTGCTGAAGCATGGCTCTCCCACACTTTTGAGGTTATAAGGTAACTATGAACTTGAATAGGTTTTAATTTTTTACCTTTTAATTTTACTTGGGTGCTCTGTTTCAAGCTCTACCCACCAAGTATTTAGATACCACCTAATTACAAAATCTTACAATATTGCATTGATCTTGGTTTCCCTCATTAAATATTATAAGTTCTATCAAAACATACGTAGTTGTTTGTTCCTCGGAAGTAAAGATAGCCCCGTTTGTATGCAAGGCTTTAATTATATTAATAAGCTTCGCAGAAACACGTGGGCGGACGGAACATTTTGCAGATAGTCAACTCATTTTATATTCATGTAGGTAGATACATTTTCCACATTATTGAATTTGCAAGAAATTAGAATCGATAACCTGGGTAACATCGTAAATGTGAAGGTTTTCAAAACTGAAACATCAAACTAGTCTATGGATGGACGTTAAATACTAAATTATAATAATTATTAAATACTTGGTAGAATACATTTTTCTCTACTCTTTTACGGGTGTTGTAGTAGCCAGAAAAGATAGCGACAGATAACTACAAAACTGGTATTCTATACCAGTACAAAAGTCACAAACGGCTTATAAAAAGTCGCCTAATTAATAATTAATTCATTTGATAAAGATTGTAAGTCTCTTTTAGGCTTTGAACATAATCCGCCAGATCCGCAAAGCGAAATCTCTAAAGCCAGTTGTCCGCGGTTTCTGTATTTCGCAGTAAAGACTTTACATATTTTATAAATCTACGGCTCTACTTACACCAATCTGTCTACAAATATCGTTTCTAGGTACGTGTTTCCGAATGATTCAGTTAATAAATAGTTGGACATAAAATAGCTAGTATGTGAGTATCTTGCGTTGTACGATATTCAATTACAATCAACTAGCCAAATCAACTGACTCATATTATAGACATAAGCAAAGCTGGTTACTGGTGTTTGTGGTGAGGTGCACAAACAGGTCTCAGTAGTCCACACTCCACAGGCCATGCAACACACAACGTCACCTGTTTGCAAGAATCGTACGAAACAAACTCAGCGTGCAGTTTCGATAGTTGATAAGCCGTGTCTTCAAATTTCTTTTCGTAACTCTATTGATATCTCGCTCTACCTGATCCAATAACAGTAAGTGTAAGAGAGAGCGACGCCGCACGATTTGGCGGTAAGCATCTACTATACTCGGCTAGGTTCGGTACAGTTCGTTGGAAGTCAGCGGTAGTCGTAGCCGGTAGCTCCGTTGAGCAGCCGCGCGCACTCCCTTCGTGACGCCGCGCGCTCCGCTCCGTATACCGCCGCTATAAACAAATAATACTCTCCTGACATAAACACATTAATTGTTCAATGAAAACTAACGAAAGCCTACTCGCTAGTACCGCAGCCCGCTCCGACACGTACTAAGCCGCAGTGGACAGTAAATCTAGCTGACCGGCCGCAATGAATTTAGACAATAATAAAGGCTAGGTTAAAAAGCTATGCTATTTGGATGTTTGCAGTGAAAGGAACCGTCGAAAGTAGCGATTCGGTGTGTAACTGTGCTGCGGTAATTTTATATTAGATGAATAAGTGGAGCATCTGTCCGAGAGTGCATTATGTACTTGAGTTATGAGTGCCGGTGCTTCGCCGACTAGATTGTGCTGATTGAGTGCTAGCCAGTCCGAGCGGCCGCGCCGGGCTCGTACGAAACCGCTTCACTCCTCATCTGAGAGCTCTTTGTATTCAAAGTACGTATTTTTCTTATTTAAATGTACTTTACTGTTATCACTCGACGTCATATCGCTGGAGTTCAAGAGATTAAGTACGCTAAGGCAACTGAGAATATAATCTTGGAGTTTCTAAGAAGTATGACAACAAGAAACAAGATACTTTTACTATCTGATCTTTTATCAAATACTTCACAGATTGGCAACCGTATCATTATTCCGTGGTAGACATCAATGTTAATTGGAACAACAAGACGGAATTTGGATCTTTGTTTACAAAGATTCGAGCGTGTGAAGTATCAGATTCAGTATACTTATGTGTTATCAAATATATCGGCATGCATAGTATTATGAACGTAAATGAACGCGGAAATCAAAGACCAAATTAATGTGTCTACTATAAATATAAATAAGAGAAATCAGTACTTTCGTAATCTGTTTAGCAAATAGAATATTGTTCACAAAATATTTTCGGATAAGGCCCAGTTACATTTGTCGAAATATTACTTATGCTGTAGAAACAACCATTTGTCAACCAACTGTTGATTTCGATTAATTTTCTTACACACACACACACACATATATATAACATACAATGTTGATAAGCAACGGAACCGGTATCTAAGGTGCACATTATAGATTATGTGCATTAGTTTTATAGAAAAGTTCTACTTTATCTGTCGCCAGTGTCGGAATCAGTAACTGGATCAAAGATCAAAATATGGCAATTTGATACAGATGCGTCAAAAATAAAATTATCTTCTATTAACCGATAATTTAGCCACGTGGTCAAAGGAAAAGTACGAAGGTCTAGTCTACATCACTCTTCAGCCTACTATTTATCTCTGAACACAAATCATAATCGCAATACCACCTTGTTGCGACGAAATCAAAATAGCAATTAAACACACTTTATACAAATTAAATAAATAAGGATAACTTTTGAGTCCACTGGACTGTGATCAGGTCAGGTCGCAAGCATGACTTGAGTAAAGGGTTCCGAATTCCCAGCTCGATTTAATTGAATATTTTTGAGTTTCTAACATTCTGAATAGTGGCATCTGTCATCATATTATTATATAGGACTTATTAGAACTGGCGAAAATTGAGTGTCGGTTTGTTTGACTGCACGGTTGGCACGGCTATGTAACTAGCTGCCGCCGTTTAACGTGTATCGGGTCTGGGTGTCATGTGTATGTGACCTTGTATGTTTGTAAACGCCCCCACGACATAGGAGAAAATCCTAGTGTGGATCAACGTTTATAAAAAAAAGAAAAGAAAAAGTTTGATTAATTAACGTTCGATTACTATTGGTAAACTGAAAACACCAAGTTATTATCACATCCAAGCAATTTCTTTTGTCTTTTTTTCTTCTCCTCATAAAATATCTGCTGATTCACTTCGTTGCGGGAAACAAGACAGTTATCCAAGTCCCTGGGACTCGCCGGACTTCAGTGTTCCGGTGTTTTCATGGTTGTATCTACTGTAGATCCTGGCTTACAGGAGTTGCAGCGGTATTGGGAGGTCATGGCGGGCTTGTCTCTTAAAAAAACCATAGCAAAATAAGTATAAATTATAACAAAATTAACTAGGAAGATAATGAGGAAAGAACGGCTATTATGTTATTAAAACTACATAATTATATTATTAATGTTTCAAGCAATGTGTTATTTAACACTTGTTACCACAGTTATAAAAAATATCTTAATAATAAGGTTTCTATTGCCTTCTGAAGCCATTTCATTATATATGAAGGTCATCGTTGTTGTACTTAATCGGGTTTTCCATTTTTTATAACTATTGTCATGTAATCACTGCATTACTTTTAAATTATTTTTTTTTACGTCATGTTAGTAATTTTCTTACAATTACATTTGTAAATTGAAAATTTATTTTTAACTTAGGTACTTCAAAGGAAATGTTTTCGACTCCATTGGTAAAATAATACATTTTAATATTAACGCTTAATTTACATGCCATCGCACTAATTATTTAGACACCAAATTTTATCCAAATTGATTTAGCAGTTAAGGCTCATCAGCGGAACAGAAAAAATAAAATTAACGTAAGCATTAATGTTATCATACTTTATCATGTTAACCAAAAAAAATCACAATTTTTGCGAATTTGCGCCAAATATCCCAAAACAAGTTAACCGATTTCGCCTTTTTTTTTTGGTAAATATTACCTGGTCACCTGGTAGACATATGGTTGTAGTCAGTATTCCGGTTGTCGGCGCTATTGTCAAGATCCAGTTTTTTTTTTTTCGCGAAAGAAACTGGTCTTTTTGTCCTACAAGCAGAGCTTGTTCGTTGCCGGCCTATTCAATAAATATAAACAATTTCTGGCGGTTTCGATAAATAGGTGTCATTATACTTAAGATAGATATATACGATTATAAAATATCAAGTGGCCAACTTTGGGGACAGTCGGGACTATAAAACGACAAAGATCTGTGTTTGTTATAAGGTTTCTAGATTCAAACTGGACACACGTCCATTGGGCATAAAAATAATTAAACTATACCAATAATAGGTATATTTAAAGAATTCTTTAAAACATTATCAGCATATTTTTATTTTTTTATTTATTAATATTAAACAGTAACTTGATACAAAATACACCTAATTCAGCTGTACATATTGTACTTGGCAAATATGTTACCCACTACGTTTTCCACAGATTACTTTTAAAATTAGATCTAGAGTGACACAAACATAGGTACATTTTTCAAATAGAATAAACTAATGTGAAACAAGCCTTCATAGATTCACGATGCACCACTTATGCGAATAATAAACGTAACATTTATGACATTGTGAATATGATCGAAATATACAATGAATAGTTTTTATCACATAAGTCAACATCGTCAGCACCCTGCAGTCTGTCGTATAATTCGAAGCACTTTGACCCCTCGTTCCGTAGTTGCAGAGCCATCGGAAATTGCTTGTGGGTGCCGTCAATTTGCTTTCTGAAGGGTAGTGCTACTCGAAATATTGTTGGGGGAAGACGTATTTAAATTCGGTATTTTTAATTTGAGTAACATATCCTATGTCACGATAAAAGTGCTGACTAGTTTTTCAGAGAGACATATTCTAATATTGTGTATTCCCAAAACTACTCGTGCAGAACAGCAGAGTTCAAATGCTGGCAACTAGCAACGTTATAAAAAGAAGGTTTTATTTTTAATTTTTAGTCTGTAGTATATCTCTGTAGAATATTGCCTAATATTAGGTAATAGGCTCACTATCAATATAAATAAAAATACCAAGATCTACTGTTTGGTTCAGTGATTTAAAATGTGGCTAACTATCTACTAAACAAAATGCTCCACTTGACCATCGAGGCAGTAACACTATCAATAATAATTTACATTTACAATACAACCGTACAAACACAGAAAACAGTTGTACATGGTTTCGTGACAAACATACATAAATTTGAATACGATAAGAATATACTTTCAACAACTAATTTACTCTACGACACAAAATTTACACATCATAATTGTTTTATTGTAATAAGGAGTATTATTTTAGTTTTTTATTCATGAAGATAAATAAATAACAAACTATAGGATTTACTCCTTATTTTCGTCAGTTAGATCTTTTGGTTTTTTGAGGACGAAAAATCATCCAATGACTTCTCCCATCTTGGGTAAGGCAAGAGAGTGTCAGGCAGTTAGACTAAAACTTACACTGTACCTACTCCTGCTTGGGGCTGGGGCTCTGGTAACCCGTTAAGTAATTCGTAGGTCCGGAAGATTAGCTGGCTGATTACGTAATCAATAATACCATTATAATAGGGATGCATATTGAAAACCATTGACCATCACGAATGCAGAATACAAATAAAAAAAAGGTTCTTATAAAAAAATCTCAGTTGTAGCACGGAGACTGGAATTGTGCCTGCTATAGGGCAATAGGCTCACTCCCTATTACGCGAGACTCATAATATAAATAGTGAAAAGTGGATGTTACATTGTATAGTGGCATTAAGTGTCATAATGTGCACCTCAGCCTATTCCTTCAGGGATAAAAGGCGTAATGTTATATTTACTTTTTTTTATTTTTTATTTTACTTTTATTCCAACCGGCGTTCTTATGTTCCACAATCCATAATCATATTTGTGCACATCAAATCGATAGAAAACAATGTTACATTTTTTACAACCTTTTGTCACGAACTCGGCTACACGTGTATTGTAAAACAGTGGATTTAAAATATAAAATACATTAACATTCATCATCATCATCATATCAGCCACAGGACGTCCACTGCTGAACATAGGCCTCCCCCAATGACTTCCAGATAGGCCGGTTGGAAGCGACCTGCATCCAGCGGTTCCCTGCGACCTTAATGAGATCGTCTGTCCACCTTGCGGATGGACGTCCTACGCTGCGCTTGCCGGTACGTGGCCTCCACTCGAGAACCTTTCTGCCCCAGCGGCCGTCGGTTCTCCGCGCTATGTGCCCTGCCCACTGCCACTTCAACTTGCTAATCCGCTGGGCTATGTCGGCGACCTTTGTTCGTTTGCGGATTTCCTCGTTTTTTAACCGATCTCGCAAAGAAACTCCGAGCATAGCCCTTTCCATAGCGCGCTGAGCGACCTTGAACTTCTTTATAAGGCCCACAGTAAGAGACCACGTTTCTGTTCCATAGTTCATCACTGGTAACACACACTGATTATAGACTTTCGTCTTGAGGCACTGAGGTATGTTGGACGAGAAGATGTTGCGTAGTTTCCCGAACGCTGCCCATCCAAGTTGGATTCGACGATTGACCTCTTTCTCGAAATTGGACCTACCTAGCTGGATCACTTGTCCTAGGTATATATATTCGTCAACAATTTCGAGGGTAGAGCTCCCAACTGATATCGGGTAGGGCGTAACATGGGCGTTCGACATGACTTTCGTCTTGTCCATGTTCATTTGGAGCCCTACCTGTTGAGAAACTCTACAGAGGTCATCGAGCATTGTGCTTAGATCCTCCAGCGATTCTGCCATGACCACAATGTC